AAGACCACCACATATGATAAAAAGAACCTTCTTACTCTTTACATTTCCAACACTTATTTGATTTAGATTCATACATTTTTGCCAATTTGCCTGGTGTTGGATACCATCGGTATATCATTTTCATATAATTTTCTCTTAGATCATAACATGCTGTAAATTTTATATCCATATTCCACATTCCTTCCCATGCTTCCCTGTCTGTATTATGACCAATATCTATTGCCCAGTGTATCATTGAGGATTTTACTTGCTCATCCTTTGTCTCCCATTCCAATAATATTGTATGCATTTTAGACAGCACTTTTACATTACATTCCAACAGGTCTCTCTCCAGTTGTGATATTTGTTCCCCTTTGGGGGATCAAAAGTACTTTCATGCAGTTCTCCCATTTTTGCCTTATTGCCCAACAAAGAAATAATCAAAACTATTATCTCTCAAATCAAAACACCTGCTGCTGTGGAGAAGAAGGGATGTGTTTGACTTGCTGGCACTAATATTTTCATCACTGAGGGCTTCAATAGAGCTACACCCCAGTGGGGAAATCGCTTAAAATTCTCAGCAGTAAAGCCTTAATCCATGATAAATCTGTATTGCTCTCTTCCTGAAAACAAAATAGACTTGTATTTGAATGCATCATAAAGTCAGACTATTTCAACTATCTCTTTGGTAAACACAGAGCTGCTGGGTTTTCTAAGACCTGAAAGTGGTTGTTTGCTTCTCAGTGGTTCCAAGTAAAGTAATTCGGGGAGGGGAGGGTGTACTGTATAATGGTTCCAGGACTGCAATGGAAATATTTTAGAACAGTTAAGATTCTCAGCCATAGTATTTTTGTTTACTGTGGTACACAGAGCAAACTGCTTGATCTTAGCACACTACGTCTAGCACAGCAGTAAGAAGGCATATACTGATCACAAACTCTAATCTTCTGCGTGTAAAGCTAAAGGTAATGGACCCCTGGATGGTTAAAACCAGTCAAAGGTGGAGCTCATGTCACTTTCCCATCATGTCAGTGGGATATTGTGGAAAGCCGAATGGCCTGATAGTGAACACAAGGAAGCAATCAATCATACTGAGTCACATGGAGGAGTGTAGCTTGTAGTGGGGACTCTGGATGTCTAGCTGCATGTCAAGTGACCTTTCAAATATCTAGTGTGGCCTTGGGCTTGCCGATTGGAAGGTCGGCAGTCCCCGTGATGGGGTAAGCTCCCATTGTTAGTCCCAGCTCCTGCCAACCTAGCAGTTTGAAAGCACGTCAAAGTGCAAGTAGATAAATAGGTTCTGCTACGGCGGGATGGTAAACAGTGTTTCCGTGCGCTGCTCTGGTTTCGCCAGAAGCAGCTTAGTCATGCTGGCCACATAACCCGGAAGCTGTCTGCGGACAAACGCCAGCTCCCTCGGCCTATAGAGCGAGATGAGTACACAACCCCAGAGTTGACTTTTTATGCCAAGTACACAAGTGTTGCGTTGCAGCTTGTGTTCATTCACTATCCATTTGTTAAACACCCCGAAGATGTTGAAAAGACTAAACTGGAAGACCGAGGGGACAAGAACAGTGATGGCAACAAAGGTGGTTCAGAAGGCAGCAGCAAAATGTCTACAGGACAGGTGAATGGGGTCTTGGATGTCAGAAGGCAAAATCTGATATCCTTTTCTAATTTGAATGGTTGGTAGACATCAGTATGGGGCAGTTAGCATCCTGAATTGACAGAAAATAGGACTTCAAAGCAGCAAGCCAGCATAGAGATAAACCCTTGTTAATCTGTGGTTAAAACTACAAAAGGATCAAGCTAATTAGATTGCTAAAGATGTTATTTCCCACTCACTGAGCCCCAACACTTTTGCAGTCAGAGGAGAGGAACAATGGTTAGCTAAAATTATTCTGATCACTGCTTGCCAAACTACTTCTATAATATAAGCTTTTTTCTTTCTGCCTTTTCCTATATTGGTATATGCATTTGACATGAAGGAATCAAGACAGACATATTGCTGTCAGAATTCACCCCCAAATGCTCAAATGTGAGCTTTAAAATTAAATAGTTCATGTTATATTGGTGCAGGAGCTGGTCAATGTAAGATTATATTTCATCATTTTAAATCAAACTCTAATCTTCCAGGATTTTGTATTGAAAAACTGGAATAATCCAAGCAATGTTTGTGCTTTTGAGTTCGATTGATCTCAATGGGAGAGTTATTAATTAACTGATTGAATGACTGAATTTGCATGCTGCCCTATAACCATAGATCTCAGGTGCTTTTAAGTAGTTGAAATTCTACTGCCGCATGGAGGAACTTTACTGTGGCTCAGTTCAGGCAACACAGTGAAACATAATTAATGGTTTACCATGAATGCACCAAGCTGGGGAGCAGCAAACCATGGATTGTATCTAATTCTGCCCATGTGTGAGCAAAACAAACTTCTTGTGCAACACAAATTCACCTTTCTCCCCTTCTGCCCCCTGCATCCACCACATGCCGTTAAAAGCTGTTCTGGAGGGTTGGGTGGCACTCTGGAGAAGATCTGGTGGCACATGGGGTCTACAGGGGGAAGGAGAAAAATGTTTGGTTTTGTTGCACAAGTGGAAGTTTGCCCATGCAATTTTGGATCCTACATTATGTTCATATTACAACTGAATCTGAGATCATGTTTGGTTTGAGTCCAACAAATCACGATCATAAAGCTAAAAAACAACAACCCAAACATTGGCTATAGATAATTGCTTATTGGGAGTGAAACAAACCCTGTTTCAGATGTAAAGCTGAGTCAGGGATCATGGTTTGTTTTCTCCCAAGTGCAGGCCAGGAGAGCAGGATGGAAAGAAGTAAGACCCCATTTGCTCATGCATGGCAAGCCACAATTTATGTTTTACTGTGGCATGTGATGAGATTAGTGCTGAACTTTGGCTGAACCATACTTTTTGTGTGATTATACATGAAACATAATAATTAAGCAAAAACTATATCTATATATCTAGTTTGCACACAAGCATTTTCTTGCTATTGTGGTTTAAGCCTGGACAATAATGCAGGGAGAATAGTCAGTCTGATTAAATACCTCAGTGTATATGTGGAAAACAATTTCATATCATAATCTGTAAAATCTGTGCCATGGCTTGGGAATTCCAAACGGAGTAGTGCAAGGCTATGCTGATCTGCTAAACTTTTATAGAAACGTATCTCCTCAATATTTTAAAATTGTAGTTGAACAGGTTATTGACTTTTCATCTTAGAGAATATAAAATAATTATTTGCCTACAGGTGATGTGTATCTTTCTATTATCAGAAAAGGTGATATCCACAATCAAGGAAATAAAATGCTAAACTGCTGTGAAACCAGCAGTGCAGAAAGAAAGCTGTGGATCCCCAACCCCTCTGGATTTCCCTGGTAGCTAATGAAAATTTAGCAATGAAATACTTCTTTAAAAATACATACTCTCTCACAATAATTTAATAAACTGTACTGTCATCTTATAGAGAATCAGGATGGTTGCCTTGGTGACCGAGATTATCGTTGCTGCTGCTGGATTCTGTCAGTTTTCTAAACATGAATTCATAATATTTAGGATTTATTAACAATATGCCTCTCTGATGGAGATAAATTGCATCCTTTCAACTGGCCATGCAAGTCTTCTATGAGAATACAACTGCTTTGGCAACTCAGCAAAAAAGATATGATGTGATTAGCAGAAAATTAAAGCTATTTGTCATAGAGAATAAAGCAGATGTTGTTTAAAAAAGGCACTGAAAAGAAGCTGATGGGGGGGATGTGATTTCTCTCCCCCCCCTTAAATGTTACAAGTTCTTTAGGGATGCTGTTTTTCGGCTATAAAACTGACCCCACTGAGTAGCAGTCAGGAACCCAAGTATCAGGAACCCAAATGTGGTAGTGGGTTTAAATCAGTCCCTTTTCCCAAGAACATCAGGACTCGTAGGAGCAGCAAAGGAATTTGTCTCTTCTCTGTGAACATGGCCCCATAAAACTCAATGGTAGTCATTTGCAAAGGAGTTTGTTCTACATGCATAGCCCTGGATATAAAATCAACAGGGAGCTCAAAAGAGGCTGCACCTGAAAAATGTCTGGTGGGGGGAGCAAAGAGCAACTCACTGCTAAAGACTCGTGAGGCAAGAGATCTTGCTCAGTTGCACTAACACACAATTTCATCCTTGCACCATTTTGCAAATTTAAAGGATGGAATGAAACAATAAATTCATTAAAATATATATATTATTTGTTTACTGGGTGAGCGTGTGAGATGGCAGTGTGCAGAGGCGGAGCTAGATGCTCCAGCACCCGGGGGTGGGGCTAGCTGCATGCATCCCAGGGGGGCTAGCTGCACACAGGGGCTAGCTGCCCGCCCACGACTCTCCCACGACTCCTGAGCTGTCTGAATGAAGGGGAAGACGCCGGCAAAGCGGCGCAGCTCCGCCCTTGCCCCGAAAGCTCAGGACTCTACCCTGAGCTGTCGGGGGAAGAGAGGAGCTGCGCTGCTTTGCTGGCGGTCTTCACCCTTCCTTTTGACAGCTCAGGAGTTGGGATAGGCTTGGGAGTCATGGGCGTACAGCGTGCCGAATGTCACCCACCCTCAGGATGACACCCGGGGCGAACTGCCCCCACCGCACCCCCTTTCTCCGCTACTGGCATTGTGGTGTGTGGATGCGCCAGTCAGAGCATTGGATTGGCTCTGAGGAGCATCTGTGCATCCACTACCTTTCTACTGCCTTTCCCTTCCCTGTCCTAGTAAGTGGCTTTGCCACTTCCTTGTTAGCTTGACCCTACAGAGTGAACCATTCCCCCCTGCCCCCATGGAATAAATACTGGATTTTGAAAACAGCAACACTATCAAGAACACTGTTGTGTCTAGGCAATACATATTCTTTTTCAATATTTCAAAAGTTTCATTTCTAAGCTAGGTAACTTTGATGTGTTTTTGACGTATTTTCTCCACTGCCTTCCTGCGACAATAGTATCTCTTTCAATAACTAAGTGATGTTTTGCTTCCAGAAATCCACATAGATAAGCCTGAAAAACCAGAGAAAACTGAAAAGAAGCCACCACCCAAAGGTAATAATTTCTATTTAAATTATTATGGGTATGTTCTGTATGTTTTCTTCCCTTTTTTCTGTTTCCAGTGAATTTCCGAGTGCAATTAAAGGTCCTGGATATTACCAATAAAGTTCTAAACTGGGCTTCAAGTAACCAGGCTACCTGGAGGTCCACCTCCTCTTCTGTAAATCTGCCCATCCTTTATGATAGGCAGTTGCACCCTTTGTGTGTGCAAGCTGAGTCAAGATTGGTTACAACATGCAAAGGGGCTTTTTTATGCTGGTGCTCTGTATGTGGAGTTCTCAGTCTGTCCCCGTATTAGTTCGTTGGGATATCTTCCTCCTTAATTATGTTCTGCCAACATTTGAAAGCATTGTTGAACTATCCTGCTGCTTCATGTAGTGGTTGTGTTTTTCTGCATTTTACTTTTTGTGGCCATTTTCACTATCTTCATGATTTGTATTTTAATGATTGGATCAGTGTTGCATATTTGCAAACCTCTTTGAGCAGCATCTTTGTGGATGGAAAAAAGTAGGGTATACAAAATAAGAATGGTAATAATTTCAAATATTTGGTGCACTAGCTAACTGGCACTGTTGTTTTTCCAATGTACTTTTAAAATTGCTTTCCAGGAACTAACTGGTGTTTTGCTTCCAGAAATCCAACCAGACAAACCTGTAAAGCATGAGAAAATTGAAAAGAAGCCTCCACCCAAAGGTGACGATTTCTATGTATTTTATTCCAAGTGTGTTCTGTTTGTAAGAATGTGAAGAACTCCTCAGAAATAGTTGAAAACACACAAATACCTGCTCTGGGAGTGAAAAGCCTTACCCACCAATCAATAGGTTATCCAGTTCAGTGGGGGCTCGGCCAGATGAGCTGACCCTAATGGATATTAGACTGCACTCTAAGCCCATTCAGCTCAGTCATATGACTTGCTAACCCAGCATTAAGTGCCTGTTAGCTTCATTGGCTGGCCAGGAATCTGTGCTTTCATTTTTATGCTCGAAAAGCAAGTCTCTAGCCCCTGTAGAACCAGATATATGAGGCAAAATTCATAGGTGCTAATCTTCATTGCAGACACTTGTGTTCATAAGGCATTGGAGAGCACTGCAAAATATCTTGCCTCTTTCACTCTCCTGTGAAGACAGAAGCAGCTGCAGTGAGAACACAGAGTGACCTTTCGCTGTGTTGCTGAGCAGTCTTTCGGAGGCTGGAACTAAAAACTTGCCATGGGCAAATATAAATAAACAAATATCAGGCTGGCTTAAAATCAACCATGGTGCAAACCAAAACGGAAACATTTACTGTGACGCAGAGGACCAATTCCAAAAGCATTCATTTTGCACTTATACTGACCAGTAACATTTACACAATTTGCCGTTAAAATGTTTCAAAAAGAATTACACAGCATCGAGGTCTCCTTGGTGCAACCAATTAGCTGGGTAAACAGAGGGGGATGGGGATAAGTGCAGAATGTATTGGCATGATGAGCAAATCTCTTTTCCTGCCACCAAATATAGGATAAGGGATTGCTCTAATTAGTTTGCCAGGCCTGCCTGGTTAGCCTTGGCAGCATCCTCACAGCACAATATGCTAATCTTGGATTGTAGGACAACAGTGACCACCACTTCCTCATAAGGACGCAGAAAGAGCCGTGTCTGAAGGCTATGCGCTTATCTGAGAATGGCAGGTGCTGCCAAAATAGGAGACTTCAAATTCTAGGGATGATTAAACATTTTGACATCGCTTGGATTGGTGATATGGAATATTCTCTGGGGCAAGGCCATGGAAGCACGCCGGGGCTTCAGCATGACTTTCAAAATAAAGAAAGTCAGTGGTTCTCCACCTTTCACCCACTACCACCCACTAGATTCAATGTCCCTGAAGCCACAAGTAACAAAAATTAGGATGTTAAAGTGGCACTTCAGAGCCCAGAACAGGCAGTTGTTAAGGAGCGCTTGGAGTGGATGAAGGAGTGCTATGGTGGTGGTTGTATTCAGGCTTGAAGGATGGAACCAGGAGAAGGGGTTCAGAAAGGGCCATGGAGTAGAGTGTGTCATGCTGGGTTAGTGGTGGTGTAAATGCTCTTAGGTAATGGCTTGGAGATACAGCAGAGGATGTAAATGATGGATTGTGATGGGGTGAGTTTTGGTAGCTCCTGCAGGCCAAGGAAGAAAGCTTCTCAAAAAAAGAATCATCCTTTTTTATTTAAGGACCTTTCTTCCTTTGTTGCCATTACAGTGCCCCCTCCATTGTTTTCTTTCTGGAAACTCCATGCACGTTCTTATTGTCTCATTATAAATTGATGGTGCGTTGTTATTATTCTCCGAGGAACTAAATCTAGGATCTGGGAGTTTATTCTCAGGGCAGGGTGAGAATAATGCAACAACTGTCCTCTGCTGTCTGCCAGAAGCTTTTGCAAGAAGGAAGAAAAGGCTGCCTAAAATCCCAAATTCATTTGACTCATCCCTCACCAGTCATTCTCTTGTGATAAGGAATATTGCTTAAGTTCAGGGAAAGTTATTTTTATCAGGAAAGTCTTGCTTTCCCCTACTGAGGGAGCATTTTCCATGTAGTTTCTAAGGATTTTTAAATGCCTTTAATGCAGAAACGGGGAACAGCAGCAATACCAGTGTAGGCTGGCAGCTGTCTGTGGGTGTTAATTCTGTGTGGCAGGCCATGAGCTAGCAGTGTTTGAAAATGCAGATTTCCCTGAAGAGATACACTTACTAAAGAAACATTGTTGCTAATTCACCATCTTGAAGCTAAACTAATTTCTAATGACAACCACCACCACCAATGCAGAATAGGTTAGACTTATAAAACACACAAGGGCAACCTACTTCCTGTGGCCCTCACAGACCTTTTTTGGGGCCTGGTTGTGGGTTGCCCAGCTGTCCCACAACATGCACCTCAAGACGGCAATCACATTCTCCTCAGCCAGCCAAACGACTGTCAGTGTTCAGACACCAACTAGAGAACTCTTCAGCTCCTCCCAACACCAATTGGCTGAGGAGGCACATGGTGGCATCATAAGGTGGAATTCACCTCACCATTCCTGTCAGTAGAAGCTCTGCACACAGATTTACACTTGTACAATAATGCTCCCCCCCTTCTTCTTACGCCCGTCACCCTTGAAATTGGCTTGGGTGAGAGTTAGGAGAACCCCTGGAACAGCATGCATGGAAAGGAGAGGGGCAATTGTTTTGTCTGGCTGCAATGCTAGGAACAACTCAAAGAGCACAATGGTGAACTTCATCCTCTTTGTTAAAACTGTGTGCCTTCTTCCATTCAACAGCTGATTGGGGAGCTGAATGAGAGGGAAGGCAAGTGAGGGAGTTGTTAATTAATTAATTAATTAAATCTGTATACCACCCTTCATCTGTGGAACTCAGGGCAGTTCACAATATTAAATTACAATATAAATTACAATATTGTAGTTAGCAAGTTGTGTCTGTTTGCACACCCATGAGAGTGTGTGTCTGTCCATCTGTTTGTGTGTGTGCTTGTGTGTGTGTAAAGCAGAGGGAGGGTGCAGGTGTGCATGTGTTCATGTGCATTAATGTGTGGAATAAAAATGCTTACAATTGTACTGCAAGTCACTATTCCTCAATGTGTTAGACATCACAGAACCTATGAGTGCATGTTTTCAAGTGAGACACCATTATTTGGTGTTCCCCTCTAAGATATATGTATATTTCAGATACATGACTATATTGGTGTTATTATTTCTAGCAATTCCCAAAGAGAAACCTGAAAAGCCAGAGAAAGCTAAGAAACCTGAAAAGCCAGAGAAAGTAGAAAAACCTGAAAAAAGAGAAATCTCTAAAGGTAAGTGGTTAGTTGAGGGACATAGCTGCAGTGCATACGTGCCCCTGTACTTCTGCACAGGAGAAAGTATTGTGAGTGAGCAAAATGGTCCCTCTTCAGATGACAATGGTGTGGCTTCAAAATATGGTAAGCCAGTCCTGCTGTGCTTGGTGGTCCTCCTGTTCATTTTGCTGAGTGGGGCCCTGGATGCCTGTGCCAGAATCTTGCCCTGTGGGCACCAATGATGATAACGTGATGACCTTAACCACAGGAACACAGCTGCTATAAATAAAAGATTGCTATGACCCAAATTCCAACACAGTGAGCTGGTTCACACAACACAATAATGACTTTCTGCGAAGGCGCAGGCTCTTGGAGCTCACAGTCTTGGATCTCTTGGAGCTCACAGTTGCTTTGCTCCTTCCTGGTATTTATTACTCCCGGGTTGGGCTAAGCTAAAGTTCACCTTAGTGTGTTATCTGAATCTAAGCATGTGGTTACACTCTCTCCTTGCTAGCCACATGCTGCACCCAAAATTCATTCCTGACTACAACTTGTGGTTAGCAAGTAAAGAGCTCAGCATGTCAACCGAACCTGGCCTTGTGGTTATCAAGCTCAAGCACGAGCCTAGGTTTGGACAGCACACTAGGCCTAGCCTTGGCCTAGCTCAGCATGGCATAGGAGTGAAAAAAGACTGGAGAAAGCAGGTGTGAGCTCCCTGCTAACCCACATGTGTGTGCTGTTCTGGTATGTCCTGGTCTGGTTTATCATGTTTTGCAAGTCAGGCCAGTGAGAAAGTGTTTTAGTGTTTCTCGGCCGATGTGCCAGAGAGTGCAGTTCTTCACTGTGCCAGTGGCACCAATGAGATTCCTCTGTGAAAGCCACATTATTGTGTACTTTCATTTGACTCAGCAGAGAGGAAGCAATATCTGGTTTTAATTTCCAGTCAAGTGAAGTGCTTAAGAAGCGGGTGTAAAAACAATAACCAGAATAAAATTGGAGGGTAATTAGCTGCCTCCACAAACACCCGTCATTTGCTTGGTTTGAACAAGCACTCACATTCCTGCATGCTCTGCAACAATCATACTGTTAATCAAGGCCAGAGACGGAGTCGGCCCTCCTCTCTTGCTTTTGCTTTGATGTGAAAATAACACACCCCGAGCTAGCCTTTTTTAATGTGGTATAGTTGGACAAAGCAGTTTTGTATCAACTTGCTATTCTCTTAAAGTCCTAGACCCCAGCAAAGCCGCTCACTGATAATAGTTTTCATTGAAAATGGCATGCTATTTTTCACCACCATAATGCCGCAGTGAACAGGATCATTCATTAATGAAAACACTTATTGACATTTTGAACTGCTTCCCTGAATCAGGATCTGACTGAAATTGATTTAAGTCATTTGAGACTATGTCTACTACTGTGCCGCTCCCCCCCCCCCATTCCACTTGCTTTTCAAGCATCTACCCTAGGCTTCCAGCACTCCACAGCAAGCAGGCGAAATAAACCTCTTATTCTGAAAGAGTGAGTAGGGAGGGATATATAAATAAGCAAAATATAGATTTTTACCTAAAGCTCCATCTCTTGCAATTATCGGCTGCAGACCTTGATACCTAAATCCTAGTGATGTCAGTGTGGTCAGCCCCATTCTAATTCACAAAAGTTGCTGGCCAACAAACCCTTTTTGCTTTCCTGCTTAGACAATTGAAAATGAAAATGGGAACAACTCTTGGGGTAGAGTGTGAGACTCTCGATCTCGGGGTTGTGGGTTTGAGCCCCACATTGGGTAAAAGATTCCTGCATTGCTGGGGGTTGGACTAGATGACCCTCATGGTCTTTTCCAACACTACAAGTCTATGATTCTTTTCAAGCTTATAAAATCTTCCCTGACTGGTCATTTGGACTAGATCTTTACTTGCTAAAGGTAGCCAGACTGGGAAATACATAAATACCCATTTTCCCTGAAAGCACTGGACCCAGGTTTAGGACATTTCCACCATTTTTAGAGATGATTTGTTATTGTTACTGCATAGTAGCTCAAATGACATTCTTATGCAAGAGGTTCGAGGCTGAAATAGACATGATACTAAATGTGCAAATGCATTTAATGTGTTTTTGTATTTCAAGACAACAACTGTGGTGGTGGGTTGCAGGGCCATGAACATGGGACACGGGGAAGCGGGGTAATCTTCCACCCACAATATGGTCCTGATGAAAATGCCTCCCCTGAAGGACATAGGGACATAAGAAGAGCCAACGGTCCATTTAGTCCAGCATCCTCTTCTCACAATCGTCACCCTGATGCCTATTGGGAGCCATATGCAGAACCTGAGCGCAGCACTCTCTCCTGATAATCCTGGGAGGGACGTTTATGTTGGCACTCATGGGAGCTTTCCTCCTGTGCTTAAATTGTGTGTGTGTGTGTGTATTCCTCAAGACCATGGCGCTACATCTGTTTTGGCCCTCAGCCAGTTTTTCTTGGCACTCTTAGCACCCACACCTGCCAGTTTTATATTATGGGGTTTATATGTGTGTGTTTTAGTAGCTTAGCAATTTTGTGTGTGTGTGTGTGTGTGTGTGTGTATACTTTAAAAATTAAAACTAGCTGTCAGTAGTTAATTTTGTCAGGAAAATAGATACTGGAAGCCAATGCGTTGTGAAAAAATGGCAATGATAATTAGCTTTTCCCATATTAAACAAACAAACAGCAGGTCAACCCAGTAATAGATAGGAGATAGGAACAAATTCCCCTATGCTTTGCTGCTGTGCCGTAGCCATTCATTTAAATGGGATTCCCTCAGCAAGCATGCCAGAGTTTCATTGAAATAAAGGGAAGGTAAGAGGCAGCAGTTCTGGGGGGACGGGGGACGGGACGCTATCTGTCCTCAGCTTAGTCTGAAAGCCCCATTGTGCTATGGTACCATTTGACCAAGATGCCGTTTTTATATCTTGTACCTAAATATGCTTGTCCTTTTGTAGCAATACACAAAGAAAAGCCCGAAAGACATGAAAAGCCTGAAAAGAAAGAAAAGCCTGACAGGAGCGGCAAACCTGAACGACCTGAAAAAGTGGGGAAAGCCAAAGGTAATCGCTGCTTTTCATGAATTCTATAAAGAGCAACTCAAGAGTTCTGACTCATATAATAAACCACCAGGGATACGGAGAGATGATGCCCTACTTTGAGAGGGAGCTCTACATTTGCCGGGGGCAGAGGGGGCCCCCAGTTATGATCCACTAAAGGGCCTGTCTCTTGAAATGGTAGGCAAACCTATCATGCTGTCCCCTGGGAAGAGAAATACTGTTGTGAGTTTGGAGGGTCAGAGAGTTAGGCTGTATGTCTGCCTGAGACCCACCTAATTCCTGGATCCAGCAAAGATTCAATTGTTGGAACAGCCAGGCCATACATAGGGGTAGTAGTCCCCTACGTATGGCTCATTAGGGTAGCAACAGAAGTGGCTTTGTGCCAGAGGGCACCTGGCTGTTGGTGAGAAGGAAAAAGGCATGTGTGAGAGCTAAAAACTAGAAATAGGCTTCAGGCAGAAGACAGAGAGTGAGAGCCATGCCTGGTTTCTGCTGGAATCCAAAGCTATGACTATGGGGGAAGCAAGACCTTCTTAGGGTGTTAATGCTGCGAGCCCCTCCATAGTAGGCTCAAGTTGTATATCTGTGTAAAAAACCACATTTCCTGACGACACCACAGTCTTTGCTGTCCCTCATTCTGAGGAAACCAGACCTTGCCTGGGATCCCTGGAATTTCACACTGTTGGGAATGAATGAATGAATGAATGAATGAATTTATTAATACGGTCACAGACCAGCGTCAACACACACAATATCACAGATCATAAAAAATATCAGAAATACAAGGGACAATATGAATATAGCACACTGTTGGGAGATTGGGGAGGAGTGAAACAATGCCATTGTGTGACACTCTAGCCAGGGCAAAACTCAAGACATTTTGCCGCCTGGGGAAAAGCGTAAGTTGGTGCCTCTTCCCATTCCACGAACAAAAGTCAATGGAACTATATTTATTTTTACATTTACATCTTACCTTTCCTCGAAGGAGCTCAACATGGCATGCATGCTTCTTCCCCTTCCCAATTTTATCTTCACAACTATCCGGTGAGGTAGGTTAGACCGAGAGATAGAGACTGGCCCAAGGTCACCCCGTGAACTTCTTGGCTGAACGAGGATTTGAACCCTGGTCTCTCAGATCCTAGTTCAACATTCTAATCAATAAAAATAATAACAATAACAATAATTTTATCATTTGTACCCCACCCATCTGACTGAACTGCTGACTGACACCTACTGAATGATCTATGATTTCTACCTCATTAGCTTTATGAAAACTTCCTTTCCTCCTGAGACCTCCTGACCCTGTATACTCCAGAGGTCAGCAAACTTTTTCAGCAGGGGGCCAGTCCACTGTCTCTTGGACCTTGTGGGGGGCCGGACTATATTGGGGGAGGGAATGAATGAATTCCTATGCCCCACAAATAACCCAGAGATGCATTTTAAATAAAAGGACACATTCTACTCATGTAAAAACACGCTGATTCCCGGACCGCCTGCGGGCCGGATTTAGAAGGCAATTGGGCTGGATCCAGCCCCCTGGCCTTAGTTTGCCTACTCATGCTCCAGAGTTTGCTGCAAGGCTGCTGAACAGGGACACTTCTCCTATCAGCTGGGAACAGAATTTGCTGTAGCTATAAATCTCATTTGTATGAATGACTGTTGATGGTGGCGAACCTTCTCAGGTGGCTTCCTATTCCATATGGGGATCAAGCCACAATGCTGCTTTTCGTAGGAAGCTAACACTTTTAGCTGCAAGGGAGTAAAGACTTTTTTGCAGTTGTTTTCAGATTTAAAAATTCATATGTGCAAAGCCTAAAACTCTATCTGATTAGTTTCAAGCTTTCAAAATTATGGGAAGGCCAGTGAGGTGAAAAAATATATATGAAACACTGGTTTTAATTAAATAAGATAATGAGCCAGCCTGGTTGCAACAGTGGCAGTAGATAGGGAGGGGGGAAATGCAAATTAATTTAGTGATTGCCGGATTGTTTATAGATAAGTGTTATGTAAAATGTTAACTGCCTTATTCTTTAGGGACTTGAGTAACAAATTACAAGTTTTCAATGCATGTGCACACTGTCAATCATTTTTAGGTGCATGGCTTCACAGGCTCAGAAAAGTAAAAGCACTTTTATCTGCATATAGCTAGAATTGTATCTTATTGACCAAAGCCCCGATGCACCAAGAGTGCTTCCTGCACAAGTGCCATTCATTGGAATGAATGGGAACTATGACAGAGAATGAACTGAGCTGATTCCTCACCTTCAGATCTCCATCTGGAAAATGGAAATGATGATGAAGTTGTTCCCATGAGTATTTTCAAGATTCATGGGAAGGGAAATGATACCTGTTCTAAGATTCAGGTGGGGTAACTTGTCTAATGTTATGTTAACTGATTCCACAGAAATAATGGGGTACCCGTTATATGACTATTCCATGAAATTGTCATGAAAACACAGGGTTCTCCCAGGCACAGAATCTACTCATGCTCTACTTCCAAGGTTGATGGATGATAATTAAAGAAAAACTAATTACATTGTATTTGCCTGAAAAGGAAATGACTTGCTTAAGGCAAGTGGACATGTGGTATTTGCAGGAGCACTTACGGTCATTTTTCATTTTAGCTTATCGAATTTAAACTTTCCTTCCAGCATAATCATGTTTCAGTATTTGCAGTGGCCAGTTGGGGTTAAAGTTCATACCCTGCAGGGAATGAGATTATCGATTGACAAAACAGCTATTGTCTGAAATAACTTCAATGGATAAACCAGGGTTTAAAAGGATTTCCAGTTCTCATTATCAGTGTCTGTGTGGCACAGGCATATGTGATAATCCATATTTATGTTGTGTTGAGCTTTAATTTCTGGTTGTTTCAAATAACCCTCTCTGCTGAAAAGAAGTTCAAATGTATGACTGCAGTCAAACAGAGGTGTAAAGATGAGCTGTAGCTGAGCCTATATACTTAGTTTAAATTCTGAAATCTCTCTCCTTGGAGAGATTTCAGGTTAGATTGCAATCACTGAATCCACACCCCCAATGCCCTCCTGAACAGCTGATTGGTGGGATTTGGTTTGTTTGTTTTTAAAAGTATGTGAATGCATCCCTGGCTGTTTGCCATTGCATAGAGTGTATAACATAGACCAAACTACACATGTGGATTTTCATAGGTGATATGTAAAATGTAAATAGTATTGTACCCAATTAAATTAGAGTAGACCCACTGAAACAAATGGATTTCAGCTGCTATTTTTTGTATAAGTGCTGTATCGTGTCTGTTTCTTTTTAGAACCCCCCAAAGAGAAACCTGCAAAGGAAGAAAAGCCTAAAAAGAAAGCACCGCCTTCCCCAAAAGGTAATGCTCATTATATTTCATGGAGAAGTGGCTCTACCATGAGGCACAGTGAAAACAGCCTACATCAGGCAGCAAATTTTGGGTGTCATTAACTGTGGCAGAATGGAAGGCAAGGAGGCTTGGTCTGTGGTGCCCAATTCATGAGCAGCTTCCAATTCATGTGCAACTTCCCAGTAGTTGTCATTTTGTTCACCAGTGGCTGCCATTTTGTATTTTCTGCCCATCATGAATTTAACACTTTTGGTTTGGTGTACTTAGTGTTGTGCTTTGATGAAGAACTATTAATCCCTTCATTACTCACATTTCTCTATTATGATCAAATGTCCTGGGGGCACCTTAAAGCGTAACAAATTTGTTTTGCAATAACCTTCGCTGGGCTTGTGTTCATTTTAGAGCAGCTGCATGACATTTGTCCATAGCTCACCAGCAGCCACCCACACACCCAGTACTAATACATAGCATATCCATTTCTTGAAGTGCTTCTTCTTAGGAAACACAGGGAATATCCAGAGTTTTCTGGTAATATCCTGTGGGTATTGTATAAGAGGTGGTGGTTGTCCTTTCCCTTACCTTACCCCTCCAAAATTGGTTCCAGGGACATGTTTCTAACAAAGCTTTTCTACCTGCATATCAGTTATCTATTTTGTGAGGATCAGAATGTTTTTGGGGTTGTTTACCATCTCTTTGTTTGTGACTTTCATAGCATCTAAAAATAGGCGTTCATTTTCCCTCTTTTATTTACTGCACCAACTTTTTCATTCCAGCAGATTATGTGTGTTTCTGTCACTGACAGTTTCACTTCTTTCTACAGCAAGGCGAGGAAAGATGCCTGGATAAGATGCTTCTATCTCAAAATTAACACACACATTCTAGGGTAGTGGGCTGTGAGGAGGAGGAAGACGATTTCTATTCTTCATTTTTCTGTTCTATTTTTAAATTTACTTTGAAAGAAGAAAAGCTTTAGGTTTTTCTCATCAATCTAATTTTCTTCCATCCTTTATATGTATGATTGGTAAAGTTCGTGATGGACAAAACCCCCTTACAAATAGGATAAAATTATTTATTTAAGTTTGCAGCCCCTTTTCGTAATTTCCTGGGAGTAAGGGTGGGGGAGTTCACATTTTAACGAGAACCTACCTAGTTTGCACTTCCCAAAACAATACACAAACTGAAACACATCTGTCCTTCAAAACTTGTGCTTGCAATCTAGTTCTCTTGTAGAAAAATGGATATATTAAAAGAAAATGCACATCAAAATGCACATGTGAGTGAAAATTGCATATAAAATTAGGAGAATTATGCACCTAAATGCTGATGGTTGTCCATTCTGATGAATTTACTTGGGACTTTTCACAGGTGTGTTTTTGTAGCAGGGGAGCACAAACCTTTGTGTAAATTTAAGGGAACTTAAGATGGGTGAGAGAGAAACTGTCCATCTCTACCTGGGAATTGTTCCAACTGAACAGTGAGACTTAGTCTGAGTAGATGTGTCTAGAATTATGTTCTGGAGAATCAGTCCTGGAGGTTGCAAAAGCATGCAACAAAGTACCCCTTTCCAAGAAGGCCCTGCAAAACTTACCGCTGGGCATCAGAGCAACCAGCTTTTCCAGGAGTAGAGATTGACCCAGGAGAACACCTAGATTCAAAATAAGTTCTGATGGTGATACTTCCATTTCATCCAGAACATGCATGCATGCTAACTCCCTCCAAGGCCTATGCATTCTCCCCTGGCATTACTTCTCCTTTCTCTAAATTCAGCTCTAGGTTATTCGCCCTCACACCCTTGCATAGCTGTCAACGTTTCCCCCTTTTTAAGGGAAATTCCCTTATTCCGAATAGGATTCCTTGCAAGAAAAGGGAAAAGTTGACAGCTATGCACCCTTGACCACCATTTCCACACACAGGTTTTAGGATAGAGGCAAAGGCTCCAACATCCTAAGTTAATTAGATATGGTGATACCTAGCCTCCTTCAAAGCTCCACCATCCTCTAGTGATGGGTGAATTCCCCTCAGCTTGATTCATAAATGGTCACCAATTTGAGAATATTTGAAAAATAGAATATTATCGACTCATGATGTCTCCTGCACTGTATGACATGGTTTTACGTTTTATTACATTTTGTTCAAGTTTTGGGTGCAAAATGCTTCTCAAAGAGGGATAAGCAAATATCTCAAAGGGAGATTTATAAGGCTTTTGGTGACTATTGGCGAAACCCAGAAAACTCCAGAGCCTTAGAGGATAGGAAGAAACGGTGGAGTGGGTGAGCTTATTTGACCTAGCTCTGAGAAACTCTTCAGCCAAATCATAGCATTTATTTTCCAGAGTCTTTTCTATTCGTTCTCTCTTGCTCTCTAGCCTACATTTCCTTGACCTTTTCAGATAATGGTGGGGCCCAAGCTATCTTCTTAGAGACCTCGGTATTAAATGGAATTTAAATGTATGTTCCGCTTCTGATGAAGTGTATGAGAAAACAACTTACCTTTGCTCATGCAATAGAACTCCATGTCATCTGTAATTTGCACTGGTGCTATGCTGAAAATATCTCCCCACTATTTTTTGACCATTCTCCAGCAATTCACAGAGGGGAAATGCAATCAAAATTTATTAAAGGGGACAGGAAAATTTCAGATGAATTCTCATGGGTGGGATGCATGTTTATTTGTGTGTGTTTTCACTTACCTTAGTTGCAGAGTGGCCAAAAGTTGTTGGTTTTTAGTGTCCTTTCTCCAGTTCTACAAATCATCTCTGGCGGTCTGCACTGTTCAGCTTTCCTGAGTGCCCCCATTTCTTGATAATCCTGTGCTTTCCATTATGCAAAGGAAGGTGGATAGGGTGCCAGCTGTGTGTCTGATATTTTTTAAAAATTGCAGTCTTCTTTACTTTTAAAGAAATCAGTGCAGAAAGATTTATTTTTTTAAAATATGAAATCAGCAAGTACACTTATCTCAGGCACTCAGAAGCCATCTCCCCAGCTTCCTATGCTTTGATTAAAGCTCGAAGAAGAATTTTTCCCTATGTGGCTTCTTCAGACCAGGAGGAAAAACACCCACCACCCACAGCCACCTTACAATGATGAGGTGAGCTCAACCCCACATGCCCCCAAATTGTAAACTGCCCTAAGAAAGAGGCAGGAAAAATGGAAACTCCTTTTGCACAGGAAAAAGGGTTTTGAGAAATTGGAGGAAAGGTTTCAGCACAGCACTAATTTGCATTTGCCATGTGCTCTGAGCTACTGTTGAATATAATGCAACGTGAAAAGCTGAACATGATAATAATGTAGTTGAAACCCCATAAGAAAAATAAATATGTCCTGTGTAATGCTCCTGGAATTGCTAGTGGAAATAGGATTTTTAAAAAGCTATTGTTATTGCAAAAGTTATGCCACAGTCATTTAAATCTGATTCCTATAAAATATGGCTTAATTTTAACAGCAGTTTTGAAAAATGATAAGACATCACTTTTGCATTTAAAAGGAAACTAATTGTGAACTGATTCATTGTCAGTTTTATAAGTGTACTGTACATGTCTGTGTGCACCAAAATCCCTGATGAAGTTTAGATAGAATTAGCTTTCAAAAAACAAACAAGAAATCAATATATTTATAGACATGGGTCTCCCAGTATGTGTCAATTACTTTTTCCCTTTCAAAAGAAAGTTAATATGCTTGTCTTTATAGCAATTGGGGGGGGGGTCTAAAAAATAATAATTCAGTAACAGAATAGGTGGAACCTGAAAAAGAAAAAAGGAGGGGAAGTTGCTCCGAAGATATTTCCTTTCCTTATTCTTCAATATGTCCAGGAGTTTGTTGAGAATAATTAAAATTCTTTGGAGACTATTTTTCTTTTCTTTTAATACAAATGACAACATGCAATTCATAAAACCAACGGTAAACTATAAAGCAGCATGGACAGTAAGAGCTACTAAAAATACATTTCCTGCAGGTACAAAAAATTATATTGACTTTTTACATATATATATATATAATCTACAGACAAGAAGAGCATAAAGGTTGAAGACAAGGCTAAGAAGGATGTGAAGGAAAGAAAACCAGAACCCAAGGCACCCGAAAAAGTGAAGCATAAGGAAACCAAAGCAGAGGTAGTTGCGCCTGCCAAAGCCAAAGCAAAGGAAGAGACAGCACTGGTGGTTACAGAAAAGTCTGAGAAGAAAGGTAAACAAAGCTAGCAGACAGCAGCAGAGGACCTCTGAAGTGCATGGGTAAAGAAATCCAGACAGTGAATTAAAAGCAGTCCATATACATACATGTACTCCTAAAAAAAGAGAGAGTTACCCCTAACACATGAGAATGAAAATAATCTTAAGAATGCATTGAATTCTACACATCTAAAATGAAAATGAAACCAAAATGCCTGGGAAGGCTAATGTGTTGCTCCTCTGACCAATGATTCTTTCTGTAATCCACATGTTTCTTTAAGGAACACATCTTCCATTCCTAAGGGTTTCCCAATATAAGACCAAAGAGGTGAAAGGCTTTAGTCTTAGCTGAAAGAAGGAGCTATGTCATCAGTCCATCTATATAATATTCCACTCTCTTAAGATCTGTGGGTCTCCTTGCTCCTCCTGAATTGTTTTGCCAGCATGAGTGGCAGACATTTCCTCGACTCCCCTATGAGGAAAGGTTATGGCATTTGAAGCTTTTTCATTTAGAGAAAAAGCGAATAAGTGGGGACATGACAAAGGTCAACAAAACTGATGTAGAGAAAGTTGGGTAAGAAGTTTTTCTCTATCTCTCCTAATACTAGAAGTCAGGGACATCCAAGGAAGCTGAATATTGGAAGATTCAGGAGGGGATAAAATAGAGTTGAACTATGAAATTTGCTCTCACAAGAGGTAGTGATCTCCACTAACTAGGATGGCTTTAAAAGAGGATTAGACAAATTCATGGGGCATGGGGCTATCAGTGACTGCTAGTCCCAGTGGCTATGTTCTAGCTCTGCTGTTAGAGGCAGTGTGTGCCTCAGAATGCCAGACAGTGGGAAGCTCAAATGGGGAGAGTTCTGTTTCACTCAAGTATTCTGCTTGCATATTTCCCCATGGGTGTCTGGTGTGTTATGCTAAACTAGATGGGCCATTGGCCTGAACCAGGAGGGCTCTTCTCATGTTGCTGTGTAGGTGCTAGGGAGATACCGTACAGTAATCAGGAGAGTTGGAGGAATTAGAAACCTTTCAGCAGAGAGAGGGCCTCCCTCATAAACCAGAACGAAAGGGGAACAGAACATGGCTGTTCTAGGTCCCTTTGCGACACCACCAATTAGGAATCCAGCCTCCTTTACTTTTGGTCTAATGTGAAACAAGTTTAAAAATGTGTCTCTGGTGAGTGGGCATTCCCTGAGTTTAAGAGGGCTAAAATGCTAAAATCAGCATCAAAGACAAGGGTCCCTGCTCTAGCCATTCTCCCCTCTTGTACAGAATGTTTTGTTTTTTGAATGATTGCCGGATGCAGTACACTAGCTTCCCTACAGCTTCCATTTTCTGCCTTGCTCTTCTGTACACTGTGACTTCTCTCTCAGGTTAGCCTCTCCTGCCAGCTGCAGCCACATGCAACTTCACTGGCCAGTTCCAGCCAGACCACCCATTCCATTCCTTAACTCCTGTTCAGGATGCCAGCCGGCCAGCCATGCCCTTTCAAGATTCTCCATTCCATTCCCTCTTCCCACCAGCTTTGGTGTCATCCCACCGAGAAAGTTCAATCCTCATTAAGCAGTTTTCGGTGCGGCTACTTAGTTTTCCCCTAAATATATTTTGTGCTTCTGCAGACTTTAGGATCTCCTCAAATTTTCAATCCTTCCTCTGATGCATGGATATTACTGTTTTGGCTCACTCAAAGAATGAGGTGCTATTAATATATTGGATTAATATATGTTTCAAAGCATTGAAAATTCCCCACCAGGCTTCTGTCTGTGCTTTTTGTGTCTTTCTCAAGCGTCTGTCTTTAGTGAACATCTTTTATATGTGCAGCTAGGCATCCTGGCCTCTGTGATTTGTAAGCTGTTGCAGTTTCCATGTCATTGAAGAACTAAAAAATAATTGCTCAAAAATAACGGCAAAGCATGGCGTGTAGGCTCCTGCAATCTTGAATTGTCCTTTCCTTAGAAATTTATCAGCATGACTAGTTGTGAAAAGATAACAGGTATACATGAGAATAAAATTTGCACAGCACTTATAAAAATTGTTCTGTTTACCGTAGTGTAGAGCACAAAACAAATACCAGCAGGTTTCAGGTTTGGGCATTTGTTAAACCAAAACCCTTAGCTTTTCAGTTGCAGATTTCTTCCTAGGATTTAATTGAATCAAGGATATTTACATCCACAAGATGCATTTGCTTAACATGAATCTTCAGCTGTGGCACATGAGGAAAACATTGCAAAATGTTGCTTTATTTGAAATATTGACTTATTGACTCTCCATAGCCCATCCCACCCCCAGCCTGTCTTTTTCTTAGATACTTCATTTAGAAATGTGGAGGCACAAGTCCAGTGCTCATACCAAAAAAGCTAGTGGGCTCTGAGCTTGAGTACCAGTAATTTGTACTGGTTTGAGTCATGGCTAGATGGGGCTATGAATATGACAGGTCATCTGAGCCTACTGCTCTCTGTCATGGCTTAATGTGCCTTCAGAGGTGTAGGACACCAAGGCTCAGTTAACCTCAAGACTAGATTATTGCAATGTGCTCTGTGTGAGGCTCCAGCCAGTGCAAAATGCTGTGGTTCAGATGCACAGTCTTCACCCACCAGAAGCCATGCATTTCGTATTATGGGTCCAATTTTATGGAACTCGTTTCCACCTGAGGTCAAACAGGATCTCTCCCTACTGAATTTGTGGTGCCTACAGAATACTTCTTAAAAAAACAACAATCTAGCAGGGATTTTAACTGAAGTTTGTTTTTGTAGTTTTAACTGAGGTTTACTTTTTTTGTATTGTATCCTTGTAAGCCACTTAGAGGTTATTGCAGTTAAGTGTTATTTAAAACTTCTGGCATATTTGTAAAGCTAAGGTGGATCCAGTATGGTTTCAAATTGGATAAGGGACCACATGCTGAGATTTCCTGCATTTCAAGGGGTTTGACTGAACCTCAGGGTCCTTTCCAACTCTACAAATCTATTATTATTTATAAAATTAATTAAATACGAGGGTGTCTGTCAACTCCTCTGGCATTCCTTCTGTGTTCAGAAGGAATGAGCAAATGCATTTGTGCTGCAATCCTACACACAGTTACTTGAAAGTCCCATTGGACTTAATGGGGCTTCCATAGCAGGCATGTATATGTATTTTCAATCTAAGACTTAATGTTTGTCAAAACATTGGGATTCTCACTCCCCCCCCAGTCACTTTCATGTCATTTAGACTGTGTGCTTAAATATTAGAAATCACCCCATGCTTCTGATTCACAATTTTCATTCATTTTAATGCTGTGTCAGAAAACTGCTAGTGCAAAATAATCCTTACTGATTGCAAATGTTGTGGTAGTTTTCCAAAACAGATTCCACATACAGATATAGTATCGATTCTGGACCCACTGTAAAGTGTATAAGGTTTACTGCTATTCCTTACATCCTGTGGAAGAAGAGGGGGTACTACAAATTGGAGCTGGATATCTCAGTCATGATGTGAGCAATCAGAAGTGCAGAGTGTAAATATTTTAAATAAAATAAATGTTGCAGATGCATTAGTGCATGCAAAATACGTCCAGGCCTGCACCAGCCCTTTGCCACAATGTGTGCAACTTCTCTTTGGTTTGTTTATTTATTATTATTTGAACATGCAGAGTCCCCCCCCCCCATCTTCAAACAAATCAGTGATACTAAAGGCAGTGGTTTTACACATCGCTATTCCAGATTAGTATCACAGGAGGTGATCCACAAAGCTTTACTTATGCTGTCTGAAGCTCAATTCTATGTTGTGGGATTGGTGCAGAAGTAGTACTTAATGGAAATTCCTTCTGGAACTGTGATAGCTCAGAAAGATAAACTTGACCTAAATTCTTTAGTTAAGCATCCAGAATTCTCCATCTCTTGAGTACAGTTGTTTACTTATTTTGTAGCACCTGCAGATTTTTTATTTTTAAACAAATACAGGGCTGGATGCAGGCATAACTAAATCTGCATCCAAGCCATATTGTTTTATTGAATGAAAAATGAAAATGAACTAGAATCAGTAATATATCGTTTCTGTTACATGAATTCATCATGCGGTTAATTTTCTGTCATCTCTGAACGCTTAATTCTTAGTGGCTTGCATAAGCTTAGAAAATATATAACTGGATCACAAATTCTGCCTAAGGGGAAGCTGCTAGCTGTAGCAGAGGAGGAAACTGAAACTATTCTGAAATGGTCAGTTGCAAAGCCTGCTGACAGTCAAATGGTCATTACTGATTCCCAAACTGTCACCTATCACTGCTAGATAAATGAATCAGACCATTGACAGGAGCGTTATGGTAGCACATGAAGCCTTGGGTCCACTGATGCAAGGGCAAAATTCATCTAAGACTTCAGGGCAGGCAGGCTGGCTGGCTAGTTTTCTGAACAAATACTTTCAGATTACTGCATCCTTTCCCACTCCCATCCCACCTCCCTGCTGTATCAGTAAGTTCTTCTCATTCTTTCATACATGCATACTCATTGATGAATCTGTGTGTGTTTTGTAGAATGAAAATGATGGTGTGCCTGACGTACTGCATTGGCCTGCATATTTATTTACTTATTTAAAATATATACTGAAAATGGTCAGGTCTCTTCTTCAGCTCAGTGAAAATAACCCGGCATATGAGTATCAGGCAACGATGGCATGTAACACACAATAATGTGACATTCTTAACACATCGTCCTGCTTTGGGGCATGCATTTGTGTATATGAAGCTGTATGTAAAACATGAGAGGCACAATCCACAGAATGTCATGGTCCAGTTTATAATGTGAGCAAATGCCAGCACAGGGCTCTGTCTGGCTTTCTACATTGACTAGAGAGAGGGAGAGAACAATATTATATGTTTGCATAGCCCAAGTCATTAGTTAATGAAATAAAAAAGTTGCTTACAGTAACATAAATCACAATGTAAGAAGTTTGAGGAACAATCCTTAACCCGTCCCATGGATATTTCAAAATAGGCCATTTTTATTTCCCTTAGAGCATGGGTAGGTAGCCTTCCTCAGCCCAAGGGCCACATTCCATACTGGGCAACCTTCAGAGGGCCACATGCCACTGGTGGGTGGGGCAACAGATGTGACTCTGTACCGTAGATTATTGCCTAGCCACATAGAAAGTCAGAGGTTCCATACATACATCTCTCCATCCAGGCAAACAGAAGAGGCATTGTGACAGTTCAGTGACATGTGCTAGCCAGGCAGGAGAACTGGAGAAGGGTGTGCTGCAGGGGCAGTAAGGAGTGTGACCTGGTGAGAACCCCTAGAGCCAGATAAATAGTGAGCAGCATTTGTTCCCTGGGCCAGAAGTCCCCTGCCTTAATAGCCTGGCTGTGGTGGGATATTCCAAACTAGTAGCACCCCCAGTGTGTAAGAATATCTGCCTGTATTTGAGATTTGCCTCTGAAATCTAGTCCTGGCAGCTACATGATTAGATGCAATGAGCTATCAGGGGATCACTGTGCAGAGAGCCAGAAGGCATTTCCTGTGGCAGCTCACTTTTTAAAAAAAGAGGAACAGAAACATGAATTTCACCACCTGTTTGGTTATTGATTACTTTGAGCAGGAGATGAAAAACTGGCAAAGGTTTTGTTTTAGTGCTAAGCTCTCTCTTTAGTGCTTGATTTGAAAAAGACCTGTAAACTGTGTCTTATTACTCTTTCCCCCCCCCTTCTGTTCTGCTAGATCAATATGCATTCTGTCGTTATATGATTGACATGTTTTCGCACGGGGATTTGTATACAGGTACTTGAACTGAACTCTATCATTGCACTCTCTGTTTCGCGGAGAGCTTCTGCTTTGTTGTGCTCCTGGAATGTGTGTGCTTTTTTCATTTGTTAATAGCAGAAATGAAGCCTGTGCAAAGAGAGTTTAAATAAAGCATATCAACTAATGGCTATATTATTAAAGCTTCTAATACTCTTTTCTATAATTGCATGCATTGAGATTAATTGTAATTTAAAAGGTGACACCAGTGGAAACCTAAGAAAGAATTGCCTTAACCATCAATTGGCGTGGAATTTATATCTTTTGCATGCATTTATGCCATAGAAAGGATGGGATAGATGTGTAAAGTTAAGAGTGGGTTTGGTTTAAAGTTCTTTATGTCATCTTCAAAAGTGTAAAGAAAATGAGAAAGCCCACCACATTTAAGCTTACTCCTTTTGTTACATGCAGATGTTAAACGTTCATATGAAACACATCTGTTAAAAATTTAGAATGGGATCTCCAGCACAATGAGTATATTCATCATATGTCACTCCAGTGTTCACTGCTGTTAATTTGTGATGGTTGCTGGTTAAGATGGTTTTGCATGCTGGAGCTGTCAGTGAACTTAAAGCCTTATGGTACCTGAGGGCATCAGTTCCATCAGGCATCAGCTTTGAACATGTGCATAGGGTATGTATCGATGAATGAACTGTATTCTGTGATGAGCTTACCACCAGAATGAATGGCGAATAAAGAATCTGCCTTTTTGCCCATGTGAAACATAAATAATCTTTAGACAAAACACCCATTTATGAGATTCTGATGTTTGAGCCATGACCACTTATAAAGAAGGTATGCCCCTTCACTGAATATGTTCTAGGAAACTGTTCAAAGAAAAATTTTGCAAGGAAATTATGGAAGAAACTTGAAAACAACTCAGATCCTCTATATAATAAATGTAGTGGTTAGATGTAAAACAGTTGCTATTCATGATCCAGGAGCAGCACAGCTACTTGTCTCATTGATTTCAATTGCACCTTTGAATGTCTGTTCCGCAGAAAGCTGGCCAAACTGAACAATCCTGTGCATGCTTGCTCAGAAGTAAGTCCCATTATGTTTCATGGGGCTGGCTCCCAGGCACATAGGATTGAAGCCAAAAATATCAGTGCCAGATGTCTAAAGTGAAGCTCCTAAATCTTGCAAAAATCAAGCGACTTGTTCCACCATATCAGGACCCAAATACTACTACTTCCACCGTTATGGTAGATTCTTCCATTTATTTTTGCTATTCTTACCAAGTTAACAGTAATTAATGCCTCCTATTGCTTTTGTACTATGGGCATTTCACAGTTCTTCATGCTGTGTAAAAACTGAACTTAAAGAAGATGAATAAATTCCTTCTAGTGATTTATCCAAGACTGCAGAAGCTGATTTGCACACATGCAACAGGACTTCCATTACCTTTCCTCCCCTAACCCTATGTATCCATTTTGGGGGTTGGGGGGGGAGCTGGAGAGGAAGTTCTGTTGCACATACAGAAGGATACAACCTAGTGTTTTGTTTTCCACTGTCTTGTTCTTTTATATCCCCCAAAGTATAAGGTAGCATACAACAAATTTATAAAAGTGCAAATAGATAACTAAATAAGATATAATAAAGGATACCAATATATTAACAGAATTCTGAAAATGCAAAATACCCCAACAATACAGTCAAGCCCAGATAAATTACTCTAAAAATATGCTAAACACATCAATTAGCTTTTGCATTTTCTCATGGGAGGTATTGAGACATCTTATTTTGCTATACAACTTTTTTTTTTTTTTGCAAGACATTGTCATACAGGATTTCCTCCCACCACCACACTTCCAAATGACACAAAGACTTTCACTCACTTGCATTCAGAAGACTACTCTCCTCTTACCTATGTAAAACATTCAGCATCTTATTTAGCACTGAAGTGGTGGTGGTGGTTTGAAAGACGAGTCTTACAATATCATCTCAGAATCTCTTATCAAATACCCATTAACTTACCATTCCTCCTTTGTGGAGAGTAAAAGAATGTCCGATATGAGTAATGCCATTCAATGGTCCTCCTCTGCTGTCTTTGAGAGGAACTACGCAACAAGGTAATATTGATGTTTTCTCTTCAGGAAGCTATCTATTTCCCTTTTCAGGTAAGGAAGCATGCTACTCTGATATAGCTCATATCTGAGACTGCACAAAAGCTACAATGGAGAAAAGAAAACAGGATTGTTCACCTGTAATCATTATTTTGTTTCCTGTGTACTCACATCATGGTCTCCTTCCCGCTCCTAGGGCCTTGTTGAATTCCTGCCTGTCATGCACACAAAACCAACAAGAAAAAATATGGTTCCCTTACAACAAATGTATATATGTGTGCATTTTACATGTGCCCTTGTTTGCTTCTAAAAGAAACATTTCATTGAGCGTTCTTTTTTCATATGACCTTAAAAATACCCATGGTGATTCAGTTCCTAGTAATCTGAGTTGCTGCCTGCCATGGGAGAGTGTTGCTGACTTTGATTACTTGCAGTCAGTGTAAATGAATAGGCTCAAGGCTGCACTTAAATTCTTCCATGTTAAGCTACTGCCTGGCTCAGTTAGACATGGGTTATAAAAGGTGCTTCTATGGCATGTGAGAGATCTGTGAAGAGACTGTAAGTTAAAACTGATGTTTCCTACAGGTTTACCGTAATTCACTTGGGGTGAAGGGGGGGCGCGGACTTTGCCTAAATGTTTCATCCACTTACGTGAAAACAAAAAAAGGGCTTATTGCTGCTTTTAGATTCCTCATTATAGGTAACAGGAATGAAACAAAGCTTCAGATTTACCAGATCAGATTCAGACCCGAGTAACAAATAAAATTGGAATGACAATTTGTGGATCTAAAACAGGTTGGGCTGCTTCCAAATGCTACAGATACATCTTGTGGTCACTGCAAAGCCCTAGTTTTTTATTTAGCCACTACATTTGTATCCCACTGTTTCGCCAAGAAGGTCAGGGTAATTTGTGTGGGCTTATTTTTCCTTTTGATGTTCACAACAACAGTTTAGATAGAGAAATGGTGAGTTGCCCAAGGCCACCCAAATCACTTTTTGGTTGAGCTGAGATTTCTACCCAGGTTTCCCCAATCCAAATGTGACTTTGCTAACTGGCTTTCCAGTATCCTTGCCAAAGCTCTCGTTTATTTGATGGCCGATGCAGATTACAAAATTGGGGGTTATTTGCTGGTTTGATATTTTGTCTTTTCCTCCTTTGATAACATGCTGAGATCATTTCTTTGCACATTCTTAAATCTGTCTGAAAGGGAAGGCATAATACAGAATAATTTCAAGCACATTCTAGGAGAAGCATAGAAAATTAAGACTTAATCACTGAATCATTTAAGTCTAATCAGGTATTATTTATCACGAACCATTCTTTCTGTAATTACAATTGCCAGCACCAGAGACGTTTCTTTATATTTCTATTCAGTTATGCAAAAAATATCAAAAAGTGGCTTACTTTGTGTCAACCCTTTTTTGATCACAATTGGTCAGGAAGTACTTCTGCGCAAACCCCATTGAAATGTAGCAGAACTGCACCCAGCTCCTATTCAGTTCAGTGGAGCTTGGGCAATATTACACCCTGCACTGTAGATCTTTTTTGACAAAGATTTCTTTGTTTGAAACATTTATAGCCCACCTCTCAAGGCTGCTGACAGTAGTAAGTGAAGAACAAAATTACAAAAAGCAGCAGAGTACAAACAAGATAAAAGGTAGCCATTAGTGTGAATAGACATCCTCTTGAGATAAAAACAGCCCCAGTGTAGCAAGTTAAAACACAAATCAGTTCAGAATCTTAAACTGTTAACATGCCCAAAGCCTTCCTAAATATAGCTGCCAATTAATACTTCACTTCATGCATGGGATGAAACCAACAAGAGCTTATGCTTTTAAAAATAAATAGTTTTAAGGAGCCACAAGACTCTTTGCTGTTTCTCCTACATAGGTTTTAGCTATCTGGTGGAAAGTCTGAGTGCAGTCACTAAATAGACCTCCTCTCTGGTCTCAGCTAAGCATACATCTGGGAATGCTGATGCACACAAGAGGAACTCTGATAAATAGAATAGCAGGGGAGGGGAGAGAGCTGGTATGGAAATAGGATTTCCTCAAATGTTCTGCTTCCAAATACAAATGAATTAGAAGCCACTAGAACCCAGTGCAGTTATTTCTATAAAGGGCTTAGGTGACCCTATATGTGGCCCATCATTATTTATTTTTAAATATAACAACCCAGGCAGTGTTCTGGACTAATTGCCATTTCCAAATACTTTTCCTATGTAGCCTACATGGGTGCATTTTTACAGTAGTCCAGGGTGATGTAACACATGCTCTTCTGGCCAAAACGGCAGTTTTCAAAAGTCACAGTTGTCATACTAGCCTCACTTCGGTTAAGGCACTTCTGATCTTGTGGAAACAAACAACTTCTTCTTCTTCTTCTTCTTCTTCTTCTTCTTCTTCTTCTTCTTCTTCTTCTTTTAGTATTTTGGGAATAATAATAATAATAATAATTTTTTATTTATATCCTGCCCTCCCCAGATGAAGCCAGGCTCAGGGCGGCTAACAACAATAAGCTTTTAATGTGTGACATTTTGTTGCATTTTTGTCTCTTCTGTTGGAAGCCACCCAGAGTGGCTGGGGAAACCCAGACAGATGAGTGCGGTACAAAAATAAATAAATAAATCATCATCATCATCACCACCATCATCATCCAGGGTCAGGGTTGGATCCAAGAAACCTCCCAAATATGAACCTACATTTCCTTACCCCATCCAACAAAGATTGAACCCCCATGTCTGGATCAGCTCTATCGAACAGGATAAGCTTCCTTGTCAGGTTAAGCATCAGTTTGTTGCATCTGCTCAGTTTGACATTGGTTTGGCACTTCATCAGCCTCCCTAGAGAAAGATGAAAAGGAGAGAGAGAGACAAAGAATGTCACTCAGATATTGATGGCATTGAACTCTATATC